AAACCAAAGGTTTGTACATAACTTAGCTGGTTAAATATCAAAGACAAATGACCAAAAATTTCCAATAGCTCGGAGTACATGCGTAGCTTCTGGATCTACCAAGGCGCATGCCGTACGCATCCTAAAATTGGGCTACCAAGCACAATGGTACCAAATAACCTTGTCTGGACAGATCAGGTTTTAATGCAATGGGACCGAGGTAACGCGTATATTTCCCTCTGAGCGATATCATCATTAAGCATTCGCCTCCGGGTGCAGCATCCTCTTCACCATCGACATTTCATGTCAGATAAAGGCGAGAAATACGCTTCAGCCATTGTGCCAAAATAATGAAACACAGATTGTACGAAAAAGCGAGATACTAGACATTACATGCTATAAACAACTAGTAATATAATGCTTAGTATCATACTGTCCATGGAGTGTGAGATCGTCGTTGAAGAGAGAGCCTAAGCGGGACGAGAGGACCAAAGAGACTCAAAACACAAAGGCCACTGAGGTCAGCTCTTCGCCATGTCAACCAATGGATCGAACCAGACATGTTCATTGAACCTCGGACCACAGTCCGGCACCCGGGAGACACCAAGCGACACAACTTTCGAAGTGAAGGTTTTGATTTCTCTCGATCAAGTCATGGCTTAGCTTCTACCATTCTTCTTTCCAGACCTTTGGGGTGCAAACAATGTTCTCACTGGAATGCATGTGCTGGCATGCGCAACACGTGGCCCAGTCATCGGGGCTTGGTGCGTAATATAACGGTCCTGAGTGGTACACTCACTTTAAATAAAATAAATATGAAATGTCAGCTGTACGCCGTAACGGCGCTTCACTGCCGCGCGACCACCCCCAGTCACGCGCGGGCTGAGTATGCCGCGAAGACTCCCACCCCTACGCAACCGGTGACCTCATGATTTCAAGCCAGGCGTGCAGACCACTCGGACACCGGCGGAATCGCTCTTCCTGCACCAAATCCGTGATGCCGAATATGTTCATTGCTCACACAGTGTGCACATCAGACATGAGCTAAACAGCGAAGACAGCAATAGTAGAAAGTAACAAGTCTCTTTATGTCTGCCGACCTGATTGGTAAGGTTTCGCAACCGCACTGGAGGGTTTTACGGACGGTTGCATGGTAAACTCTGCTCTTCAGGACCAGAGCGATGTTGCGTCGGCGCCATGAGTGGCGAAGATTGCAAATAGTGCCCCAGCTTGGGTTATGGGATTGGCTATCTTAGCTTGGATATAGCTGCCTAGATATTAGAATTTATGCGCAACTTCTAACTGATGGCCTCTAACTGTCACCCCAAGTGGATGTCTATCAGCCTTGCAGAAGGGCTTTGCGTTTCCAGGGCTGAAAGCATAGCCGGCAACGACTGACAGTCAGAGCTAAATTGTCCATGGCTGCTTGGCACGTTTAGGAGCGGTCACAGATTAGTGTGATGTCGTCAGTACACTTTCAACCAAGAAGTCGCTCGCCTAGAAGTAGCTTCAAAACTTGTAGGTCGTATCCAGTGAACGCCGTTTCCATGGCCATATAGATGGTGAAATCGAAAATAATAGGTTATAACGAGTAACCTTGTTACACATCATCGGAGATATTGTGGAGCGGTGACAGTTCGCCATAAACACTCACTCTGCCCAAACTATGCACTTCAGCGCTCTTATGACATTTCCGTGTTTACAGAGGAGTAGTAGGAGGAGTTGAATGGTATAGGAAGAAATTGGTCACATCTAGACTCATTCAGACAGCCGCCACACGCCCGGAAAAGCACTGTACGCGCGTTTCATCATTTCGGGAATCGTCAGCATTGCGCATTCCATCGGACCCTGTTAGGGTTCGAACCTGCAACTTGACTGTTGCTAGTCCGTGGTTGAAACCACTTAGCTACAGGGGACGGTAACGGTCATCGTGAATTAGTTACTGGAGGGGATATAGCGCCGCTCACTATCCACTGACTTACACTACTGCCGTGCAGAGGACAGGGTAGCCCCCTCACCTATACCCTTCAATCCCCTACTACGCCTCTGTAATCAGTACGCAGACCAAACTACTTATAATGCCATAAGTTAATTGGCGGCTTAAGTTTGCTAAGCTCGTCGCTTGGTGAGGGGGTTTACCCTGTCCTCTGCACGGCAGTGTCGTGTAAGTCAGTGGATAGTGAGCGGCGCTATTTCACATCTAGTAACTAATTCACGATGGTCGTTGCCGTCCCCTGTAGGTAAGTGGTTTCAACCACGGACTGGCAACAGTCGAGTTGCGGGTTCGAGCCCTACCAGGGTCCGATAGAACGCGCACTGCTGACGACTCCCGAAATGATGAAACGCGCGTACAGTGGTTTTCCGGGCCTGTGGCGGCTGTCTGAATGTGTCTGGATGTGACGAATTTCTACCTGTTTTTACTTTTGGCGGGCGCACATTTTCTAATCAGACAGTCTCAAAGGGCCATCGACCCAGCGATGTGCAGGAACACGAACACGGGGGTCGCCAATAGACGTGCCGGAGCTTCAACAATTAGCGTAAGGTGAAGATGTGGTCATAACAGCCCCAATTTAGACGAAACCTGGTTGGCTCCTAGCGAATCGGACTTGCACCGACGTCAGTCATCTGTGAACAAGGACAGCGGCAACTTAAAGATAATTTAAATCAGATTGTTTCGTCTATGCTCCATCCCGAATACGAGCTCCTTTTGAAAACTGGGACTGTAGCCGAGCGGCTATACTCTACTGGGACAGTCCCCTGCTACCACAGCTTCACCAGTAAGTCGAGCAGATCATATATAATAGCAGGTCCCCTGAATTTGCGATGGGCTGGAGAAGCTTAATCTGCTTCCAATTTCTGCTTATCCAATTTCAATGGTCTGATCTCGCGTCCAAATTCTGCGCGTGAGAGCGGATCCAAGGGGGCGGCCTAGAAAGAAGTGCGATCAATGGCCGATAAGGGAGATCGTGACTACTCTTCAAAATGTTCAGCCCAACGCTCCAAGCGTTTTGACAAGTAGTGGATTGGCTGTCCAGACTTTTCACGTATGTTCTCGTTAACAACAAGTCTCCAGCTGTCCGTTTCCCGTGTCAGACGGAACAATTTACCATAGTTGCCAGGGACAGAGGCTGTCTCCATCTCCAATGCACAACGAAACTTCCAGGCCTCGCGCTCTCTCTTCAGGCTAGTACGTAGCTTTACCTTGAGGATATTTGCTAGACTCGTTGTGGTCGCTCCAAGCCGAGCGTCTAAAAGTTCTAGTGACGGCGTAGACACCCAATGTCCATGTTGAGAATATGATTTGCCCCACGAAGACATGCCTGCTGCTGATAATGTTTGCTGGATATTAGACTAGTGCTCATCAAGCCTGTCCACTGAGCACTTACTCAACCCGCAATAAGCGCACTTTGATACGCATTCAGAACATCTGGCCACACCAGTTGCACTCACATCGCCGTTGCCGACGTCCGCCGAAGCGCAGCCGCAGATCGGCACATACAATTGCGTGACAAGAGTCCACACTGGTGCTCCAAATCGAGGGACACTTTTAGATACAGTGTCTCCAGCGGCAACTGATCACGATGTGATCGGTCTGAGTCCATGGCCTGTCCAAGGCTGGTAGGCGCCATCTTACCCTCCGGTAGGTGCTAGGTCAAAAGCTTGTGCTCACGAGAAATGGACGAGCATCTTCAAACAGGTGTAGAAACCGCTCATCGTTATCATTACAAGAGCCTACACCATGTTGACGTCCCAAATGATGATCCTCGGTGGACAACTGCCCTAGTTGGGCGTTCAGAGCACCAGACAGCACGACAGTATCCGTACATTTTCGGTAACGAACGAGCTCGATCAGTTGGTGATAGAAGTCATCTTTCGCAGAGTCACTGATACAATTTGTGGGCGCGTGCGCAACAGTAGGTTACAAGCACCGTTTGTGCTTGCGCGACTTCGAAGCTTTGAACAATCTGACCAATCTGAAGACACACATGCGGCGGCTGACTGTGATCCAACCTATCGGAGCGGCTTCAACCAGGGGGAGAAAAACAATGCCCACATTGGCTTGACTCGAATTTTAAGCAGCCTCATCTCCGGGCAGGCGCAATAAGTAGGTGCAGCCGGTGTCGCATGTGTAGAGGGGATTTCAGGGTAAGAACACAGATCGAATCTTTCAGGCAGGTTTCCTATACGCTTCGGTTACTTATGGATAGTGTTCGTGCAAGTGTTGCCTGTTGGCCATTCTGCAACAGTGAGGCATGCCAGTTTTAAGGAAGGATCGAGTTCTCCAACTGGAAACAGATGGGCTGATGTTGTCCGTTAAAAGGCAAGCGACTACTGGAACAAGATGTAGTAGGGCCAAGATTTCGAAGGCTGGAAAAGGGGGAGGAAAGTGAAGTTGGAGCAGAAGGATAAGGATGGAAATGTATGAGAGGGGGGATAAGAAGATGGGAATGATTAAATAGTTGCGTCCTTCCTTTTATCCCCCCTGCTGGATGTAGCACGTAGGATGCGTTGACAAACCTCTGCGACGATCATGTCACTAAGAAATTGTTTGTAGAGTAGTTCATTGTATTGTGTTCTCATGATAATGTTGTATAATAGCTATCACAACTAGTGTCAGTTCGGCGCAATTGTCTGTGATCGAACTGGAGGCTGTTGTGTTGCGTGTCGGGTCGCCACAATTGTGGGAAATCTGTCATGTGCCCAAGTAAGTATATTGAAGAAGTAGGTCTTCGCATGCCAGTACCATAGCTGACGATCCAAATAGAATACTGACTATCTTCTATAAATGATTGGTGCCTCGCTTCTTTGTAACAATTGGACAAAGATATTGGACGCATCGTGAAACGTGTTCGGCGATCATTTAGGGGGCCTGATTTGCACTTGCTTCTCCAAATTCTACAGCGATATGTTACTATTTGTTAATGATCCTTCAAGAAGCTGGGTAGCGTAAAGTACGCGTGCCTTTGCTTTACCATCAGATCGATTCTTCTTAGTGTCAAAGGCCAGCTAAATAGCCATGCTCATCGCGGAAAGTCGCGGTAGGGCTTCAAGAGTACCCAAGGGTATTTTTCCTGCACTGCAAGTAAAAATCGAAAAGTAATGTGGGTACTCCGCTAGGCAGATGTAAAATGTTCAACGGACCATCCGTTATGGTTGCAGAATGCAAGTGTAATTTCCAGTGAAGACGAGCTAGTGGACGCGATATGGTAAAATCTGGAGGTTGCCGGATACGGAGTTTGGCCAGGGCCCTGCTGATTATGAAATGCAGAAATGGTAATGCGTGTGTGCCACTTAGGTGGATTCCGATCAGGAATCTACTTACACATAGTGTTTGTCAACTTTGTTATTAATCAAATAGATAGGGACCGAAAATGGATGACTTACTGCTCGATGTGGCAGTTGGGAGGTAACATGCGTCCGAAAATTTCAGTAGCCGCTAAATGGCCAAAAGAATCCGACTATACAAGACCCAAACAGAGTTACAGTGTTAAAAAGTACGCTCCCTGTTGTTATACAACTTTCTGAACATTGAATTCCCATCGGAAAGTAAAACGCACATTAAATTATGCGTCTATCTGACAAAACGGACGTTAACACGAACTTATGTTTCTACATAGTTCGGCGCCTGGGGAAGCATTCTAACAGATGCAAGAATTAGATGGAAAAATTGGGCTGTTAACTGACATGAACATACCAGTTGAAAACCGTTTTAAGATGTTTGTGGCCGGTTCCACTAAATCCAGTGCGATGGGCTCTTTTTCGTATTGCAGATCAAGCTGTCCCCTGAGCGTACAATGACGGGCGCTGCGATCAGCCGCTTCCACAAACATTTCGTATGCTTGTCGGCTATTGGTGCGAGAGGCGGCCTGGAAACGAAGTAGAGAAAGTAGATGCAAATCGGGTCCTGTTCTGTTGCTTACTCAAACTATGGTAATACTATTGTCTTTTATCTGAGGAGGGAAGTCACACAAAATCATTCTGGAGCAGGGATGATTGTCTGCGATAGTTATGAGAGGCAAAAACAAAATGCGGACGGGGTAAGCTAGTTCCAGAATGCCAGATTAATCAGCAGAAACTGAAGTACTTTGGGCTACAATCACTAGAAGAAAGATTAAAAACATTGGGAGATTTAGTTCCATCTGGTAACGGCCATTTTGCACAATGTTCGATTCTCGCACTGTACTATCGGGAATGCAAAACGTCCTAAATGCTACCTCCTCTGATGACGTTCCGATAATCTCAAAGCAATTTGCAGTTCAAAGTAAGAATGCGCATTAGAAGACGGCCACGCTACAAACAAATAAATAGACAAACATTTTTCTCTACGACACGAGACACGCCTGTATCCACATGATTAGTTTAGTGCATACTTTTACCAAATGCTCATCACTGTTAGATCAGGAAACTTGAAAAGCAGATAAAACTGACGTTTGGAAGGACAGCAAAGGTGTAGTAAATGGTTGACTGAAAAGAAATGATGTTAGCTGGCTAGCTGTGTTACATACGTTGTTATTGTTTGTCTGTCAATCACTGCAGTGAAGTGGGCAGTGGTAGGCAACACGCAAAACTGTCCACTTTGTATGCAGTCCCACCCAACGACATGAAGCTTGGTTAACACTGAGATTGCTTGTGACACTCCAAACACTCGAGGTAGCTAGATCAAATTAAAACGATGAACCACAAAAGGGAGGCAAACGATAGAAAGGGTGGTGCACCAATTACGTGCAAACATTGTGAGGACAATGAGACCGGGTTATGATGCAGCACATTTCAGCGTGCAAGAATCTCAGGGGAAACTGCGCAACAATCAGCCCATTATAGAATGCATGCTTTCTCATCCACACCCGATCAGATGTGGCGATAAGTTACACCGGTCTTGGGGTGATTGCGCATTGCCATGTGGTTAAAAAACTGCATCAGAGGACAACCACATCCGTTCTCTTCCCAAGAACTCTGTTGCCAGATCATCAAATGAGAGAAGGCATAATTATACCGTTTATCGGTGACAGATCAACCAACTCAGTACATTCGTCAACCGTTACCCGGCTGCGATTGTGTCACACTGACGACTTACGATAAAGAGCCCAGCGGTGTCACAAATCTATGAAGCCTTGCAGACAGTGAGTCGTCTTTGGCTTGAGTCGTAAAAGTGCTTCTGCTGAAAGTCTTTTCCCATGGATCGTGAACAGTGTTGCTTGTCCTTGTTAGTCTCGATGCAGTGAAATGGAAATCGTCCGGAGACTGTTACACCGAGGGAGTACATATGAATTCAATCAGCAATTT